AAAAATCTCATGCTACATATAGCACAAATGATCTCCTGGCATTTAAGTAAGCTAATTAATTTGCCTGCAAGCAACCCCAACCAACAAACAACACAAACCCCAACCAACCAGCCGCCAAACCCTGTGGTTGGCGTTGTTGATGGGCGTTGGAGCGCTGCTGCATCCTTCCATCCCTCTATCCTTCCACCACCAGTTACTCCTGAACAGGACCAGCACCGTGTTTGGCATTCAGAACTTGATTCTTCCCCCACCCCCCACCTATCCTCTTTCTCTCTTCCCACGACTGCTGCAGTCGCAACACGCAAGCGTACCTGCCGGGATGGCTGATCGCGTGTCTCTGGCAAGCAACTGCAACGCCGCATGCAGCAGCTACCTGAAGTTGCAGAGGCGCTGCGGACGCTGCGATGGCTGCGCTGCCCTTTCCAGCATGGGATCGTCCCCGGACTGGCTGCAGGCCCTCTCGGAGACCGATCAGCAAGAGTTCCTCAGCATGCTGCTGGCAGAGTCGCAGCTGTCGCTGGTCAGGCAGCTGGCCGTGATCCTGGGTCCGCTGGTGGGCACGCGCGACGCCTTCTACGAACGAGGCAGTGCCTTCAACTACGCCCGCGACGTGGCCACGGAAAGGTTTGCCAGCGCCGTCACCAAACCCATTTCGGCTCCACCATCGCCATCACTGACACCCGGTGCTCGCTCATCCCGGCGCACCAGCCATTCAGATGCACGGGTATCTTCCCCTGGTCGCAGCCGCCGCCAATCCTCGCAGCAGCGGGCAAGAACCCAGCGCCGAAGGAGCCAACCACACCACCACCACCACACCATTCAAGGGCAGCCGCAGCCACAGCCACAGCCACAGCCACAGCCACACGGCCAAAGCGAAGGGCACCTAGCAGGGTCATATGATGCGCGGCCCGTGAGCCCTGCCGCCATGGCTGCGCAGTCGTCCTCCCCGCACCGTGGCAGTGAGCATCGCAACAGAAACAGTCCCGTGAGCCTGCAAGATCGACTGGGTGCATACGGCGCCTCTCCGCGTTTGCACCAAGCAGCGATCCACCACTCCCGTGCCGTTCGCTGCAGCATCAGTGGGGTTGTGGACGACGAGCAGCACCGCCGCCGGCGACTCAGCTCCCTCAGCCGGTCCATGCCAGCACCTTTGAACGCGGCTTCCGAGGTTGGTGTGTCGCAAGGGGCAGCTCAGTTCGTGCCGACACTCATGGGCCTGCAGCCGGCCACGGTTGCTCACATCCACCGCAGGCTGAATGCGCCCGGGCTGGCGGCGCGGTTGCAGGCAGCGTCAGCGGTTGGACAGCAGGCTGTCGATGCGACGGCAGATGCCATGTTGCAATGGTACCTGCAAGGCAACACGTCCGACACAGCACGCCTGATTGCCTGGCGCCTGCTGTTGACGCGCATTTCTAGGCCCACACTACAATATCTTGCTGGCAGGACGACAGCAGCCCTGCGGGCATTCGAGAACCAAGGCGGCGATGCTGGGGGAGAAGGCATGGACGTGAGATTGCTCGAAGCACAGGCGGCAGCAGAGATGGCAACGATCCAGGCAGCCCACTCGTCAGACACGGCGTCCCGATCAAAACCAAAGCGATCCAGTAAAGAGGTGGACAGGGGCGATGGTCGCAGCATCCAGCTGTCCCTGTCAGCGCGCGCCTCTGTGTCTTGTTCGGCTTCTGATATCAAGAGCACCAGCGCTGCTGAAAGCAAGAAGCAAGCAGTGGCCGTGCCCAGTCAACTGACTGCTGTGGCATCAGCGAGTGCTGCTTCTACTTCGTCATCATCGTCTTCTCCCCCTTCAACAGCGTCATCGGGATCAAAGGGGCCACCAACCACCTCGACTGCGAAATGCAGTGCCCCCAATATGCCCTCCGCCACAACCTTGGCCGCCGCAGCAAGTGTTGATGACAATGACGCGTACCGCGGCAAAGGCAACAGCGATGATGTTCTTGTTGTCGATGATGACAACGATGATGACGTCCGATTTGACATGATCGCAGCCTTGCCCAGCTTTCTTGCCCAACACGTGCTGAGCATGCTGCCTGCGAGTGATCTTAAGGTCACCGCCCAGGTCTCCCCCTACTGGGCCCAACTCACCGCTGTTGTCCAGCATCACAAGGTACGACACCATTCCTCCTGTAAGCCTGTGACTTGACCGTGCGCTTGCGAGCTTGCGTGCGTGTTGGTTTGAGGGTTTGAGTGCTTCATGTGGTCTGATGGAGTGCAGCGTATCGCTCGTTCTTTCTTTGTTCGTTTGTGTGTGCGCGTGTGCGTGCGTGCGTGCGTGCGTGCGTGCGTGCGTGCGTGTGTGTGTGTGTGTGTGTGTGTGTGTGTGTGTGTGTGTGTGTGTGTGTGTGTGTGTGTGTGTGTGTGTGTGTGTGTGTGTGTGTGTGTGTGTTGCAGTTGCACGCCACGTAGCCGCGTAGACCTTGTGTTCTTGTGTTCCTCTCTCAAACCCTCAGCACTCCTAGTAGACTCCTCAACCCCTTTCCGAGTTTCCTTCGCCACGAGCCGACGAGCACTGACACGTTCTCTTCCCCCACCTTCTCTCTCTCTCTCTCTCTCTCTCTCTCTCTCTCTCTCTCTCTCTCTCTCTCTCTCTCTCTCTCTCTCTCTCTCTCTCTCCACAGGCGCTGCGCCAAGATGCGCTGGAAGGCATGATGGCGGTGCGTGGTCCTGCACAAGCGGACGAACGTACACGCCTGGCGCCCATCTCATGTCCCACGCGTGCCCCCGGGTCGTCTGAGCTGCTTCGCCTGCCGTCCCGAGACTTCTTCACGGGCTCGTTTGCGTGCATTCGCCTCCCAGACACGCTGCGCGACATGCACCACCTCTTTGTTGCCGTGGACCCGCGCGGGCGCCACTGCATCACTGGCGGCGCGAGCAGAGACGCCGTTGTTCGCGATGCTGTCACTGGGGAGGTGCTCGCGCGTGTCCGCGGCCACGCCGGCGGTGTGCTTGGTGGCGCAGAGCTGTTGTCTCGGGACGTGTACGCAACAGCGAGCATGGACGCGTCTGTGCGCCTCTGGCAGCGCGGCACGCTTAAGCCCGTTGGTGTTCTGCACGGCCACATCAAGGCCGTGTCCCATCTCGCCTGGGATGAGTTGAACGACACGCTCGTGTCTGCCTCGCTCGACAGGCGCGTCATCCTGTGGGACCTGGATCTGCAGCGCCCCCACGCATCCAAGCACGTCGTGCGCGCACCCGGCTCCATCCACTGCCTGGCAATTCACCATCACGTGTGCGCTGTTGGGCTGAGTGACGCCAGTGTCACCTTATTCGACATCAGCAGCCGCAAGTTTGTGCCTGCGGGTCGCGTGGTGATCGCGCCTCTTCCCACTGCCTCCCCAAACGTGACGTTGATGGGCCTCCAAGCAGCGGCAACAGCAGCAACAGCGGCGACAGTGCATGCTACGGACGGGCGGCAGGTAGACGGCTCCACGCAGCACAAGGCGAAGCGTCGTGCAAGCCGTCGCGCGCGTGCTCGCGGAAGCAATGCCAATCTCCCCGATCGTGGTGGTGACGGTGGTGGTGGTGGCACGTCCAACACCGCCAGCATGGGCGATGCCACAGTGAGCACTGCGGCCACGACAGGCGCGAGCAACAATGAGAGCAGCGATGTGACCAACGGCAGCAGCAAACGCGCGTCATTTGGCAAAGCAAAGAGCGACGCCTCTGCTGCTGTTGTGGCCAGCGAAGGGGAAAAGCATGGCGACGGCGACTACAGCAAGCACAGCAAGCACGGAGTGGACAGCCTGGGCAAGCCTTACATTGAGTCATTGGCTATCACGCCACACTTTGTTGGTGTGGGCATGGCTGATGGACGGGCGTATGTGCTGGGTCGAGAGGCGATAACTTGGCCCGCAGCCCAGCCACGCTCGTCGGAAGCGTCCAAAGGCAAAGCAGCGCCTGCCACGGATGCAAGTGATGTGGAGGTGGCGTGCTTCACCCACCCAAAGGCTGTGTCGTGCCTGCGCCTGCTGTACCTGCGCCTGGTCACCGGGTGCGCTGACGGCTCCATTCGGCTCTTCTCCCTCCCAACGAGGCAGTGTGTGCGCATCTTTCGTGTGCTGGGCAACATGTCACCCGTCCGCAGCTTTGCGTTTGAGAACCTGCGTTCGCTTGTTGTCAGCACGGACGATGCTCTTGCCCTTCTCGACTTTGGCGAAGATGCGACCAAGGACACCACACCCACGGCTGCTCATGCACCCACCACCAGCAGCGACGAGCACGGTGATGGCGGTAGCGATGGCGGTAGCGATGGCGGTAGGGAGTGGTTGAGGAACATGCAGAGTGCTGGGCGGCGGAGTGCAGCCACCTCGAGGAGCAGTGCGATGGCAACACGGCCAGCAACACGTGCATCTTCAACACGAGCAACAACGCCGTCGCTCGGCGAAACGGTGCTGAAGATGAGGCAGCAGCAACAGCAGCAGTCGCGGTGGCAACAGGCACGAGTGAAGAGTGGTATGGGCGATGGAGAGGAGGGTGAAGGTGCTGTCTTGAAGTTGTGGCACACGGAGGACGAATTGCTGGTGCAGCAGCTACAGGCACAGCCGGAGCCCCACCGCCCACAAGAACACATGCATGGGCACATGCAGCAGGGGAAACAACACCAGCTGTCACAACCCGAGGAGGATGAGGATGAGGAGCAAGAGGCGGGGAAGAACAACCAGGAGCAGAAGCAGCAGTTGCTGTTGCAGCAGAGGGAGGAAGAGAAGACAATTTCACAACAGCGCTGGCCTGTTGCTGCCGTTGGGCGTGAGGGAAGCCGCGATGCTGCCATCTCTCGTTCAGACAGCGATGCCGGTTCAGAGGGTGATGTATTTGGTCGCAGTGCAAACCCAGTGGCGCTTGACGGCGAAGGTCGGGTGGGGAAGCGCACGCAGCGGCAACGGAGTGCATCCACTGGCGCCGTCACATCAAGCTCCACGGCAACACGCCGCCAGCGGGCAAGGGCAGGCAGTGTGCATGTTGGGATGGCCACACCAAGCACGGAGGCAACGCGAAGGGTGTCAGCGATAGCAACGTCAACACCAGCATCTGGCAACATGAGTCAGCGCCTGCGTCGCCTGTCGCTTGCTGGGCGCATGCACCACGTGGGCGCATCAACGCAGGGTGCGAGGCGCACGACACGAGGGGTGAGCGAAAGCAGTGCACGTGGAAACGACACAGGGCCGGCGGTTGTGGTCGCTGCCGCCGCCGCCGCTGTAGACGGGGCGGATGATGGCGGGAAATACCACAACGCGTGGACGCGTGGACGCAGGAGCAGTCGGAGGGCGCGAAGCAGAAGCAGCTCCAACAGCATCGGCGATATGCCAGATGACACGGCCGTGATGAGCAGCAACCGCAAGACCACAGGGAGACGGACAACCCTGGCTGCAACGGGCGATGCGAATGCATTGCGACGCTCAAGTTTACGCGTGTCATCATCACCATCGACGATGCAACCACCATCTGATTCACCACGACGGCACCGTCGCACACTGCACCACCTGTACCGGCTCACCGTGTCTGCGTCACAGCCCCTGCAAGAAGAAGATGAAGGCGAAGATGGGGGATGCCAAGAGCCGCGTGGACCCAGAGCCACAAGCACCGCCGTCAGCACCAGCACCCATGTCACCGCAAGCACCAACACCAGCACGACCACCAGCACCACCGTTTCTTCACCAGATGCGCAGTCGGCGTTGCATGGCCATCTGCCCAGTGCTGAACTGAAATCGTTCCTCGGGCGGAGCGGAGGCGGCCGTACTGCCAGTGATGGTGGTGGTCGCAATGGAAACACCCGCATCAGCACCACGAGCACGGCAATGACCACCAGCAGTCGAGGGACGCACGCGCACCGCCATGCAAGCCTCAGTCCTCGTCGACCAACAACGCACGAGCCCCACGACCTGCAGCAGCAGCAGCAGCCGCGGCCAGCGCGTGGCTCGATTGCCGCCAGCGGGTCTGTGAGCAAAGTCGATCGCCTTCAGCAGCAGCAGCGGCGACGGCGCGTCAGTCAGCCTGTGTCCAGTCCACGTCGACCATCGACCTTTGGCCACACGTTTGCTGGCGAGTGGCGTCGCTACTACAAGACGTAGCAACTGCACGTGTGGCGTGTGTGTGTGTGTGTGTGTGTTGCACGATTGAGACACACAGGCGCACTGCACAAGCATGCACACATGAGCGACCAACGAACACTTTGTCTTGCCTGAATGCTGCTTTGACATCACACGTACAAGATGTAGTAAAGGTTCTGTCATTTGTGCATCAAGGTCTTGTGTACAACCGAAGGTAACACGATGGGCGTGATGAAGAAGAAGGGAAGACTGAGGCGATGGGCCACAGCGTAACAACACGCGCACGCACACACACACACACACACACACACACACACACACACACACACACACACACACACACACACACACACACACACACACACACACACACACAGAGTCTCTGTCTCTCAAACTCGATGACGGACCCGCCACACCACGCACCCACTCAAGCACTCATAAAGATACTCATTTACAAATGGTGCCTTACAAGAGCGCAATTTGACATGCTCTGCAGGGATGGATAGCGCCATTGCAGACGCTTTGGCTCTTGGAATGACCAACCAAACAACATAGATTGGCACCTGGTCACACTGAGCGTGTCGATGCTTGCGCGCAAGACCTCACAAAATCACACATCGGCACCTTCATGCACACACACTGTAAGTGTCTTCTGTCCAAACCTTCGTCATCTTGAACTCTTGACTCGCTTCGTTCCCACGCATGCTTGTCACCATTGTGAACTTCCGTGATGATGGTGATGTATTTTTTCCCCTTTTCTTGTCGAGGAAAGAACGCGTTGAACATCTAAACTTTGTTCGTGAATCGCCACATCGAGCGGCCAACAGAATGGACAAAACAGTCAACGACAGCAGGTGTACCACATGACGATGACACGTGAAGGGAGTTGAATGGTAGAACAGATACAGGCACAAGCAGTGTCCTGAGGGGTGGGCGTATACAAAACATAAACATGCCAACGTTCATCCAAGACACACAAGTACAGAAAGCAGAAGAAAACAGAAGATCAAGAAGAAGTTGATGACATGACAATCATGACGATAGGGGTTAATCATTACAGCACCCAAGCGCAGGCTTCATCAGCACAAGAATAACAGCAGCCATTCGTGTCATTCATTCAGCAACAAGTGTCTTAGGTGAGGGAACAGCTCCACAGCACAGGCAATTCAGAACGGGGACAGCGAATATTCGCCGTTGGGATCCATGGGGAGGACGGTGGGGAGGTTCTGTCGCACGTGGTCCAGCAGTGCCTGCCGTTCGTTCAACAGCTGCTGTCGCTTTTGCACAAGCACCTCCTTGGACTTGTTCAGCAGCGTCAGGCGCTGGCGCACGCCTTGCCGGCTCTTCAATTCGCGCTTGCGACGGCGCCAGTAGCTGCGGCGCGCAATCTCTCGCGTGCGCCCCAGCTTCTCATGGTCGATCTCGCCGTTCTCAAGCACACACCGCTTGTTGATGGCACTGCGCCCGCGCATCATCGTGCTTGCTGTGCCCTTGGCACGCACGCTGCTGCTGCTGTTGATATTGCCCTTGTTGCTGCGATTGTACTGTGCCCGCTTGCTCTTGCGACGATGCGCTGGTGATGAGGACGATAAGGAGGTGGAGGAGGTGGAGGAAGAGCTTGCATGCGGCATGAGCTGCCGAGTGATGGGCTCCTCACAGTCGCTGTCGTCGGACGACAAGGACATAGCAGACAATGTTGATGCCGATGACGCCACAGACGGCTGCCGCTGTGGTTGTGGCAATGAGGAGGAGGAAAAGGAGGAGAGGAAGGATTCCACGGCTGCGTCAAGCACCTGGTCTGCATCTGCATGTGTATGGCTCAGCAGCTCCGCAACGCTGGCGCTGACACCTGCTTCAAACCCGGGCAGGAAGTCTGCATCAACACCGCGGACATGGTTGCCCTGGTTCTGCGAGGGGTTGGCGGCGCTGACACTGATGGCATCGTTGTGTGCCGCCGTTGTGGGGAAGGCATCGTCAAAGTGGAAAATGCTGTCGGTTGTGCTTTTAAGGCGGAGGTGGGGTGCAGCCGGTGCGCTATCGGTGTTGATGCCAAAGGCGCTGTTCAGGGCTGCCGTGTTCTTGAGTGTGGAAAAGGCGGGTGCTGTTGGCAGCAATGGCGAGGCTGGCTCGGTTGCATGCAGGCAAAGGGACGGGGAATGCTCTGCGTACAGCTGCGAGTAGTCGCTGCTGCTGCTGCTTTGCTTCTGTTGGTTGCCCATGTTTGGCGGGGAGGCTGCAAAGCGCGGTGAGAATACATGGTCGCTGCTGCCGCTGCACATGTTGTTACCGCTGCACATGCTTGGCATGAAGGGGATAGTGCTGAGGTCGAGGTCTGCGGGGCGGCTTGTGCGGCTCGCACGGTGGACGGTGTGGTGGACGGTGGGCTTGGTGAGGGTGCGGGTTTGGTGGACAAGGCCATCTAGGTATGCGTGGTAGGTCGGGATGCCCCCCGATGCTGGTGTTGGAATGTCCATGGTGCTGGTACAGTTGTTGTTGTCTGTCCGTTTGTCTGTTTGTGGAATGCGCGAGACACGTTCCTCCGTGTTATCTGCCTTCCTGTTCCGCTCTAGCGCTCTTGAGCTTGGTCTCTTGATGTGCTCGACGGCTTGGCTTCTCTGGACGTTAGGACGTTTGCTTTGTTGAGAATGCGATGAGGACGGGTAGTGCGCGGCGGAGCAGCAGGTAAGCACTTGAGCACTTGAGCACTTGAGTACTTGAGTACTTGAGGTCGGGAAAGAAATGGCTTGGGTCAAACACCATCTCCGCCACGATGCAGTGCGCGCTCTCCTGCCGTTGCTGCCGTGTTTGTTGTGCGTTGCGGTGTTGTGTTTGATCAGCAGTGCAAGAAAGGAAAGTTTGTGGGATCGCTTGCTGTGCTGTGCGTGCGTGCGGTTGGTAGGAAAGAGGGGCGCAGCAACTGGTCAGGTTGCGCGACGCAACGTTGATGCAGACGAACGGGACAGCAGCAAGCAAGGAAGTGGTGTCAAGGATGTCAGGACGAAAGCCAGCATGCGGAGGCGGGTGGTGCAGCCGAACGGCGGGGTTTGATGGTCTGCTTCTGTGTGCTTGTGTGGCTGTGGAAATAGAACAGCAGAAAGACGAGCTTGGCAATGTGTGCGTCCAATATGCCCCGCATTTAATAATTTAGCCTCTGTTGCCTTCTTTGGTCATGAAGCATTGGCTGGTGAATACTGCGCGGGTGCAAACGAATATTGGTGAAAGCATCAACAACGAGAAGACGAGACATCGCCACCCGCGTCACCCAATGCCGTGTGGTTGTTGTGGCTTGGTTGCTGTCGTTGTTGTTTTGAGGCAAGAAACTTTGGGTTGTGCTCGAGCATGACCATGACGCAAATTATTATGTAAACATCCACAACCCACCGACCCGCCATACAAGAAGAGCACCCCTGCACCCGAGAGCACCAACAACCTAACAACATCCTGCTGCCTTGCTGCTGCTCTGCTCGCATCACACCAGAGCCAGGACAATATTCTTTGCCCTCTCTGTCCTTCCCTACTCTTCTAATCTTGTGTTTGCCCTGTAATTCTTTGAGACCAGCGGATGATGGGTGCAACGAAAGAGCAACCGCCGGCAGGCCGGCGTTTCCCTAAATTTCCTGCCATACGCCCCACCACAACCCCTGCCTACAGCAATGCCACAGTAACACAACAAGTGGCCAGCCAAGCGGTGCCGTTGCTGCAGCGACACAGAGATGACACACCAGCACACCAGCCAGAGCCGAAAGGAACAGAACGGATCACAGCATTGCTGCAGCACACACTATCCAAAGGTCTTTGCATCGTGTGGTGATGGGGACCGCACCACAGCCAGGCATCCAGGCAGCACATGAACCTGGTTGCCAGCGTGCCAAAGCTCCACCCTCTTGAGTCCAAAGCTGACACAGCAACAACCCACCAAAACGACAACATCAAGGGCGGCAGCATCAACCAGTCAGCGAAACCCCTGCAGCACCCAATATGATGAACAAGGGTGGATATACTATGGCAGACTGCCGTGCTGTGCTGAAACCCACGTATTGTCTTGTGTGGCGTGACGGAGGCAAGCATGAGCAGCAGCAGGCTACTCGGCTAGATTGCAGGAGTGCCATGATTATCTTTTCCTCTCGTCCTGTCTCATGGCACAACGATGCTTCTTTGCGGCCGCAGAAGAGAGAGCTCTTGTTTGGTCGCGCTGGTTGTCTCGTTGTCTGTCTTTGAGCTGCTGTCTTCGCCTCCTGCCGTGTGCAGGTGAATTGGCGAAGGTGAGATAGGTTGTTTTGCCTCCGTTTTGTTTTTGTCTCCTCTAGTGGTAGAGTGGTGAACTGGTGAAGGAAGCAGGGTGCTATGGCGGTTGCTCTTGTCTCCTCCCTTTCTCCCTCTTTTTCTTCCTTTATTGCCATCGTTCCTTAGTTCCTTGTTCCTTTCTTCATGCAGATGTCTAGATGTTGCTCGTGTGTTTATTTATTCCATGCTGTCCATGGGATCTCAGGACCTCCTCTTTGTGCCCTTCCTGCCTTGTCGGCCGCACCCCTGCACCCTCCTAGCCTCCTTGTTCTTCTTTATTTTTTTTATTTTTTTGTATTTTGAGCTGCTGGCCGCCACCCGCAGCTTCCCACTGCCTGCTTGCGGCTGGCAAAGGGACAAGGCTACCTACTACAGCGAGCGATGCATGCAGTGCCTCGTCGTTGTGTCTTGCCGCTTGCTTGCTTTGCTTCTTTGCTTGGCAACACCAGACACACGCACGCGCAACAATTTTTTTGGTTTCGTGTTTTGTTCCACACGACGGCGTGATGGCATGCAATGACACGGTGTGACATGTGTTTATCCTGTCTCATCCTCTCTGAGAAGCAAACAAGAAGCGAAGCAAGGTGTTGCAGAAGCACAAGAAGGCTCGGAGGAAGATGCTCAGACGTGCTTGCAGAAGAGAGGGCGTGGCGGTTCTACTTACTTTCGCTTTGCGCCGATGAGGACACTCCACGATATGATGTGGGTGTGCTGCTGCTGCTGCGTGCTGTGACCGTGTGCTGTTTGTTGGTGTGTTTTGAAGGAAGCTGTGTTTCTGTGTGTGCCCTGCTGCTTGGCTGCTGCACACGGTGTTGCAGCTTGTTGCCACTTGTTGCCGTTGCTATGTTTGATCCCTTATTTGATCTCTTGACGCAAGGCAGGCAAGGACGCACAACATCTGTGTGTCCGCCTGTCTGTCTGTGTTTCCGTCTTCTTTTTCTCCGTGTATTGTTGTTATTTCTGTGGATCGTGCCATCGTCGTTCTGTCGTGTGCATGTGCATGTGTGTGTGTTTGTGCGTGCGTGCGTGCGTGTGTGTGTGTGTGTGTGTGTAAGAGTGATGGTAGTGATGGCGTTGCGCCGTGGGGATTGCGCACGTTGGTCTGTTGGTAAGACGACATTGGCATTGACATTTTGCGTTTCTCTGCTTGTGCTGGGTTTTGTTTTGCTTGGTGTGATTCAGGTGGTTGATCGTGCTGCCCGTTGCTTGATCTCTCTCGACTTGCTCCGGCGTGTGGGGAGCATGGCACAACTAGCGTACAAGCTGCAGTGAAAGGCGAGCGACACCAGGCAAAGGGGATCACGACAGCAGGTCCCCTTGCTCCATGAGCGCACTACATAACTATGTGTGTGTGTGTGTGTGTGTGTGTGTGTGTGTGTGTGCAGGTGCATGTGTGCGCGCGTGTGTGTTGGAGACCTTATGCTCTTCGTTTCTTCATTTGTGGCTTGTCGGGTGTGCTGGCGACCTGCCCCTACTGCTCCTGGTTTGCTCACATGGGACGTGTATTGTGCATGTTGTTGTGACGCTGCCATGAAGTGCAGGTGGCTCAGTGCAGGTGGCTCAGTGCAGGTGACACAGTGCAGGTGACACAGGCATCGCAGAACCAAGCATTGCCTGTAGTTGTGCTCAAGCGCAGTATGGTGGTATTTCATCACGCGCCTTCCGTGGACATGTGTACATGCATGTCTGTTCACATCTCGTAGGTGGAGTTGCGTGTTTGCTTGGCACTTGCTTCTTGCTTGCATGCCCATCCTGCATATGCATGTGTGTGTGTGTGTGTTGCTGGCTGCTTTGCTGATGGCGTGCACGTGTTTGATTGGGCTCGTGTGGTTTGGATTTGTCCTCTTCCACAGACGGTGGCACGGGGCCCCATCCTTTTTTTTCTTCCGTTTTGCCCTCGCTGAACACTTCCTTCTTGTCTCTGTGTCTATGCTGGGTTCTCTGTGCTGGGTTCTCCGTGCTGCCGCTTGTCCTTGCTGTTGTGCACATCTGCTAACGCGTTGTTGATGGCGTGGGTTGGCATGCAACAACGCAAACGCCGCAGGTGGAGGAGCATGCATGGGCTACTTGTAGACGGAGCACACCATCTCGGACCAGATACACAGGCAGCGTTGCTGGCGGTTCAATTGTGCGTTGGGCGCGGGGCGGGGCGGGACTGTGTGTCCTTGCCGCCTCCGCCTGCTGCTGCTTGGCCGGAGTCAGGCAGTGCGACTGTCTTTGCCGCTGTGTGAACGCTCCACTGCAACCAGCCGGGCGGGTTGATTGACGGTCAGGAAGCGAGCCAGCTACAGCTTGCTTGAGCGCGCGCGCACGCACAGAGGGCCCGAGCTTCGGTTGAGACGCAAATCCTCGGAGTTGATGAGCCACGAGGTGAGTGTTTGTCTTGGCCTCTTGCCCTGGTCTTGTGTTTGTAGTCGCTGTTCGCAATGCGCAACAACACCCACCAACAAAAACACACGGCACACCTACCAGCACACAGCACCGAACGACACTGAGCAACAAATACCAAGAGAACACCAAAACACCCTCCTACACATGCGCGTGTCGGTGTCAATGTGTGTGTGTGTGTGTTTGTGGAGGGAAGGGCAATTGCGTGGCGGGAAAGTGTAGATCAGATGTTGAACTGTGGGAACACCGATTGTAGTTGTATGTGTTTATGCGCGCGTCTCGCGTGCAGTGCTTTCTTTTCTGCGGTGCATCTCACGTGCGCTCAATGTTACGCATGCATTTACGCGCGCGCACAGTTTGGTGAAGAGAATCACGGGCGCGGGTAAAGGCTTAATTGTTTGGGCACGGCGGCGGCGTGGACCTGCACCGTCGAATTGACGTTGCCATACCGGTGAGCGGGGACAGACGTTGTGCGTTTTGGAGAGAGGCAGTGGTGTTGGCTAGCGCTGCTGCAAGGCCTGTGCTTCAGCACGATGGCGGTGTGCAAGCGATGTGTGCCTATGTGTGATTGTACGCATGTATGTAATTGTGTGTATCTGTGTGTGATTGTTGGGGGGTCGAGGGAACGGCTGGAACAGGGCTTCCATCTCCATGGCATTGTTGTAACGGTGTGGTGCATTGTCGCTCTCTTGCTCTTTCGCGATAATCTTTCGTCCATCTCCTCACACACACACACACACACACACACACACACACACACACACACACACACACACACACACACACACACACACACACACACACACACACACACACACACACACACACGCACGCACGCACACACACGTGTACAGTGGGTTTTGGATGCGTGGCGCTTCTTGGCCGACACGTCGTGTTGCACCTACCTTTCCAGGCTCACGCTCAACAGCAGCATCAGAAGCACATGCCATCAGCAACAAGGCGGAGACCATGATACGATGTTCTGATGTTGGTGCTGGCTGGCCACATGCTCACATCGTCACATGGTGGTGCGAGGGTGCTTGTGCCGGGGTGCCTTTGTTTGTGGCACGTCGCGTTTCCGGTGCGCGCTTGCGCGCAGACGACTAGACGAGCTTTTGGCTTCCTTGTTTTGTCATGTGATACATACTTCCACTCGAGTCTTCCTTCCTCCCTCCCTTGCCACTATCATCGAGAGTTGCGTTTACTGCAGTGGTCCGTTCGTTGCCCTTCTCTTCCATGAACTGGTATGTTATGTGCGTGTGTGTGTGAATGTGTGTGTATGTGTGCGTGTGTGTGTGGGGGGGTGTGTGTGCATATGATGTCTTGTGACAACTTGTCGCATCAAGTGGCCATCAGAACGAGAATGAGTGAAGAAGCACCCAGTGAGGACAAGGCGTGCCGTTACGTCATGGTACGAAGGAATGAAAGGAGTTTACCGAGGGGGTAAGCAGTGTAGAGCCAGGGGGTGCAAACACAAACGCATGCCTTCAGACAAGGTCAGGGTGTCATCTGTGTGAAACACAAGAGTATACGAAGTGACACCCTGTGCGAACGCAGATGAACAGGGAGGGTCATGGGAAGCGATCGAAAGGCGTAGCGCTACTGCGTAGGTTTGAAACAGCTCAGGTGCGTGGCGTCGATGAAATGTAGCGGGCGAGCACGATTGCGAAGTAACCGGTGGTGCAAATGGTTGTAACGAATAGATGCCCGAAGAAAGGAGGGGGGGGGCAACAGTAGGCCTCCAAGCTTTGAGGATAACAAACTAGCAGCGACGAGGAGGAAGAGGGAATCGACGTTGCACACAGACAGATAGACAGTCAGACAGTCAGGCAGTCAGATGTACACGCCACACAGACAGATAGACAGTCAGACAGTCAGGCAGTCAGATGTACACGCCACACAGACAGATAGACAGTCAGACAGTCAGACGCAGGCGTACAAACACAGCGCTGCCTGTCAAGAGTCTGTGGTGCACTTTAGACTGTTGCGAGGTATCAAGGCGCGAAAGTGCTTGTCTGCGCGGGAGGCATGCATGCCTGCGTGATGTGCGCGTTCACTCACGCAATGCAAGTGGTAGGTGTGCACTTGGTGGCACGGGTTTTCGATGGCATAGCCAGCCTTCATGATGTGGTAGATGAACCTGTTCTCAGCACCACGGATATTCTGCACGAAGCCCAGCTGCGCTGTGTCGACGTTGAGCGGCGACACAAATACAAACGTGTCTGCAGAGTTGACCGTGTGCCCATTTGGCATGGTTCCCTTGCACAGGTTCTGTGGGAGGCGGGGGTTGCTGCCGCCGCCACTCTCCTCGGGGCACTCGGGCCACGGGTGTCGCGTGAGGGCAAATATGCGGGTTGTGCCCAGGTGCGCACGGAGATCGTCTGCCGTCATGCAGGTGAGCAGCGTGTCATTGAAGCCGAGCACAATGTCCGCGTTTGCAAGCACCACCAGCTGCTCTCGTTGAGAGTGCGGCGAGAAGAAGGAGGACGTGGACACGTTGTTGTTGGCGTAGTTGACGAGGGTGGCAAATGTTGGCTGGCGCGACCGCTCGACGATGCTCAGGCCGCGCACGCCCCGGAATCGTTGCCTCAATACACTGGACATGGGCCCGTCCACAAGCACGTGCATGCAGTGGAATCCGATTTGATCGGCGTTCTTCTCCAATGCGGTCATGAGCTCCTCCTCCCGTGCGGCGCTGTAGGTGCCACCCAAGGATACGATCATGACAAAGTCGCAGGGTGGCAGCGGTCCACTCTTTTGTCTCGGTCGCTTCTTGTTCTTGCTGTCCCCATTTCTGTGTTGTTGTCGTTGTTGCTGTTGCTGTTGTTGATGTTGCTGGCGTTGTTGTTGTTGTTGCTGCTGCTCGTGGTGGTGGTGTTGGTTGTTGTCATTTTGCTCCACTTCAAAGACATCGGCTGGGCGAACGGTGGCGTGTCCGGCTGCAGCAGCGGCTTGGCCACCGTGGCTGTTTTCTCTGCTCACGACGTACTCCATGCCGAGCTCCCTTGTTGGATGCTTGCATGTCCAGGACATGTAGGCCACGACAACGGCGGCTGCGAGCAGTGCCACATATGGCAGCGCACCTTCCAACTTGACCATCAAGCAAGTGGAGCGTGTGCTTGTGTGTGTGTGTGTGGGTGTGTGTGGGTGTGTATGATGGTGGTGCTGGTGGTGCTGGTGGTGCTGGTGGTGGCTGTTGAAAGAGAAGGACCACACCACAAAAGCACAGGACACAGGACACAGGAACACAGGACACAAAAGCGCGTACAACAGGAACACAATCACAGTCACAGGAACACACCACACCAACCCAACAACCAACAACAAAGAGGCGGCTGGCGACATGCGGGTGGTTGGCGTTGTTTGTGTTTGGCAATCGCTCATGTAGAAAATTGTTAGTGTCTCGGCAAAAAAACAACAACTGCACAACGGACACAGAAACGCAAAGCAACAAAGCGAAAGGAAACTACGCAAGAAAGCAACAGTGCAACAACGGCAACAACAATCACACACATCAAACACATCGTCATTGACCTCCTGCACCACAGCACCGCACGTCCTTGTTCTTGGCACAACCAACGACCAACGACCAGCGACACGAATCGACACACGGCTTGAAATCGCCGCCCAACCAACAAGCCAGTCAACCACCCTTTCTTCTGCACCTCTTTTTTCTTTGCCCGCTTACTTCTCTCCTTCACCGATCAATACCAACCTCAGCTCCGTCGGCAACCATGAGCGAGAGTGGAAAGCACACGCCCAAGCGTCTCATGGCCCTGCGCAACCAGAGCGATGGCGCCACTGCAGCTTCCTCAAGCACCGAGTACGTTTGTGTGGAGGCATGCACTGTCCTCGAGCCCGGTGTCTCTCTCTGTGCTTGGGCGGACGAGTGAACAAAAGGGGGAGGTTTGCGCGAGTTGGGTTGTTTGAAGAAGACGGAGAACAGAGGCCGGTTGTTCGCATAGGATTGCGTACATGTCTACTTTCCTTCCCCACTTGCGTCCTCCTCTTTCTCCCTTTCTACTCTGTCCTGCTGTCCTTCTGTTGCGTGCACCCCAGCAACGGGGAGCCCCTCATCATTCACATCACGCCTGCCTCTTCTCTTGTTGCTGTCTGTCGTGTGGAACAAGAAGCTGGCTTGCTCACGACTGGTCTCCTTTGCCTCGCTGTTTTTGTTTGACTTGACATACATCGCGCACGCACTGCACACACACACACACACACACACACACACACACACACACACACACACACACACACACACACACACACACACACACACACACACAATATGCCTCCGACTCGAGCTAGCCGTGGCCATTTGAATGGCGGTGAGCTGGCCGCCAAGGTGGCTCGCCTGCAGTCGGACCCTACCAAGGTAAGGGCGTGCACGTGCGCGCGCGTGTTTGTACATGTGCGCGCGTGTGTTTGTACATGTGTGTGTGTGTGTGTGTGTGTCGAGCGGACAAGCTCCGTCCCTACATTGATCCTTTCCTCTCACAAGCGGACACACACACGCGCCTCATACACGCAAACCCTCGGCACGGCCATCCACAGGTCCACCTGAACGACGTGTCGTACCCGCCGTCGCGCGACGAGCTGCAGCGCTTTGAGGATTTGCCGCTCAACGAACTGCCGCAGACATACAAGCGCGACGTCCACCAGCGGTGCGTGTGTGCGTATGTATGTGTGCAGGTGTGTGCGTGTGTGCGTGCTTGGAAGTGCAGTCTGAACGGCATCCCTGGCTTTGTTAGCCATCCAAT